AATCCCCAATTTCTTAGGCTGACTCTGCTTTGCCTCACATGCTGTCAATCTGAGAAGCTGGGAGAGGTCACTAGTGATCAACTTGGTATCATGCATAAATGTAATAGGGAAATCAGGTCCAAAAGATTGTCAAGGGACAGGAAAAATGGAGATCTACACTCCAAATGCCCCCGTTTGGGTAAGGCTTTTCCCTTGAATCTTTATAGCGCAGAGAGAACCTGCATGTGGTTCTTATTCCATATGTTCTTTCTTCCAAAAGTACTATGTAAGTACTATGAAACTATTTACACTTCAAGAGTTAATTTTCACAATAGGCTTGTCAAGTAGGCAAAGTTCTTTCCTCTTCTTTTATAATCATCCTCTTTACCTCCCTGCAGGTCCTAGGTCCAAACTCAGTCTCCTCTCACCACCACTCCTGTGGCACCCTGTCGGCACCCACTGCATCTCACTTCTCCCCCCATTCTCCTACCGTCTCCCCAACACAGCTTCTTACTGGTTGAAACATGCACAGATGCCATCAAGGGTAAGAAGCTTCCTAGGGACACCATTGCATCTCTGTCATTTTTATTCGATTTGACCCCTCCCTCCCTAGTCCCTGCGGCTGCTAACCAGGCACAGGGGGCCGAACTTGGAGGAATTCCCCCAGAGTGTCGTAGCTGGGGTTCTGTCTCTGTCTCTCTGCCATTATCACCCCTGATTTGACATTCGATCTGAAGAGTTTTGCAAACACTGGCGCTGGGATGACATTTGAAGTAACTACTGGAAGAGTTCAACAGGCCTGGTTTAAGCACAAAAGCTGCCACTGTGGGCAAGTCAATTACCTTATTTATGCCTCAATTTCTTAATTGTTCCAATGCAGATAATACTACCATGCTTACAGTGTTATAAAGTGAATTGAACTAGTGTATGTACCGAGCCTGGATAATGCCTGTCACCTAACAGCAGTTGCTCAGAGCCCTATTATCTCTTCTTCTCCTACTGATAATAAAGCCTGAGGATTCCCCTTGAGCGTGGGCTGGGCTTAGTGGAGAACACTGGTTCTGTCTCAGGTCCTTAAAGAAAAACCCAACTGGCTTTTCATTTTGGTTTTCTTCTTAGCTTTGTCCTACATCAACCACAGGTCCACGAGTTTCAGCCTGACGACTAGTCTCCCCTGACTTTGATCCAGCGCAGGTCTCTGGGAATAGAACCTGGGGCCAACGTCTTTTTTTCAGGAGCACAGCATGGAGGTTCCGAAACAGAGACAGGTTTGGAGTCTGCAGCATGAACAGAAAGGACATGAACACCTAAGGAAAATACATACATAAGGGCCAGGAAGCTGAAGGCAGAATGCATGGAAAATTACAGGGACCAAAGAGGATGGTAAGAGATGTGTGAGAAGCCAAGTGTGTCAGGTAAAGCTAAGGCATAAGGGTTCAACGTATAGAACTTGACGTGTGAATCAATTTACTTGGTTGTGGCCAACACTGAAAAAGAATGAAACTAGAAATAGTTTCTTCTGTGTATATGTATGTGTTGCTACATAAAAGTTTCCTATTTAAGTTGAGTTGAAGTAAAAAAAAGTTGAAAAGCACTGAGGTAGCTGTCCACAGAGCTAAAGGCAGCGGATGCATCTAGAAAGGCAAGAGCTGAATCAAAATGTCCACTGAGGTGGGAGCTAAGGTTCAGGCAGTAACCATTTTGCAAAAGATAAATGTATCAAATCAACACTTTGTGCACCTTGAACTTACAATGTTACATGTCAATCATGTCTCAAAAAAGCTGGGGAAAAAATTGTCCATCTGATGTGGCAGTGTGGAGGGTGGTGACCTGGTCAGAGTGGTTTCCACAGTTTATTAGAGGGAGAGTGTTACAGTACTGGGTGAAGAGGTATGTGGCGAAAAAGAGAATAGACCTCTTTTTTAAGAACTCTGGCAGCAAGTAGGGGAAACCATTAGCTATGGAGAGAACATATGATAAAGGTTCATTGCTTATTTAAAATAGAACTTAAATAAGTTTATAGAAGCGGCTAAAGATAGAGGGCAAAGCATATCATTGATAGAGCAAGCTCTAAGAAAGAAAGGGCCAGGAGAGTAGCTGGGAGAACTAGCTGTGACCAGGAAATGAGGTCTGGGGAAAGGAGAGAGTCCAGCATGTAGACACAGTGAGGCGCACACAGTGGGGAATGGAAACCGTGGCAGTTCTTTTGTGAAAGCTTGAATTTGCTCCATAAAATAAGGCTAACATTCAAGACAGCATCTAAATGTGTTGCCTTAATACTTTCTGAAGTATTTTAGCTCTTCCTACAAGGAGCTAAATGATTTCAATTATGGAGACTACAAGTCATATGGCATTCCTCAGCCAGGCCTAGAACTATAACAGGGCTCCAGAAGGGTGCCTGAGTGTGCTGCAGCCCCTGAGCAGTCTGACAAGGGTGGCCCTGGGCTCATGTTGCAGAGCATCCCAATGTTGGCGGAGCAAGTGGCAGGACAGGTAATGCTGTTGGTAGTGAGGACCAGAGTGTAGATGGCATTCTGTCCAGGTGGGAAGCCAGGTGTCCAGGTGGGTGTCTGGTTCTGGTAATTCCGGCCAGCGCCCCCTAAGTGGGACCTATTGTCTAAAAGAAACCCTGTTAACTTTTTCCATAAAAGGCCAAATAGTTAAGTACTTTAGGCTTTGGGGGCCATTCAGTCTCTATACACATAGTTTAAGGGTCCCTGCACTTGACTATTTTAATAGGCATACTATCAGAAAAGTTTGATATTATTCCCAAATTAAAACATGGCTCAGAGAAGGCTAGTAATCACCACATTAAACAAGTCTAAAAATGCACAGCTTATTTGGAAGTTATATGATAAAACAATAGCACTACTATTCAGATCTCTAGAAAAGTAGTTTCATATTATATATAATTTTGAACAAAAAGAGGTATCATTTAAAATTTATGTATTGATCTTTATTTTTCTGTATATTTCCATATAAGTTACCCATTTTGAGGCTCATCCTTACGATGACAAAGCAAGTAGATTTGAGAGAGTCAGGGAAACTTTGAACAGTTGAAACAAAGCAACTTGACTTCCATTTCCTAAGGACACTAAATGATTGTTGCACAGCATGAAAAACACAGGTGAGGTCTGGGATGCTGCAACTTTTAGAGACACCATATTCCTCCAACAGTCCAGATGTAAGAACAGAATGTAGGTTTGGAGATTTGGGGCTGTAGTGTCAGACACAGACGCATAAATGAGTAAGACACAGTTCCTACCATGGCACAAGTTAGGAAGTGTTAATATAGTCTGACCATGTCTGGCCACCAGCATTTCCAGGCTTCCCCCTACCTGCTCACCTACAGATAAGCATAGTTTCTACTTCTGCTTGCACTTCTCTCTTCCTTTTCACTTGTGCACGTTAACAAGAGGAGCCCAAGTCCAGCCCGCAACTAAAGAAATCAAATGTTCTTCTGCTTACATGGGGAGCCACTGTGCACACATTTCAGGAGAACAAAAGAACTGGTAATTATTGAAAGCCTGCTCTGTTCTGTCTTTGCCAATTCTCTAAAAAATGTTGGAGTAAATACTATTTCCGTATTAGAGAGATGTTAACCAAACCTTGGGGAAATTAAGAAAAAACCTTCCAAGGTCACATTAAGTAAATGCCAATTAAGTACATTCACAAAATTTAAAGTTAACAAAATTAAGTAAATGCCATTGCTGGATTGAAATCTAGCTCTGCCTAACTGAAGCCTCTGCTCCTTCTACTACTAGAGCAGTGGTTCTCTGTATAGTCCCTGGACCAGCAGCAGCTCGAGGGAACTTGTTAGAAACCTAAATTCCCTCAACCCAACCCAGACCTACTGAGTCAGAGATGCTGGGGGTGGGACCCCACAATCGGTTTTAACATGGCCACAAGGAAATCTGACGCATGCTGCAGTTTAAAACCACTGCATACACACCTCCAAGAAAAAGAGGATATTGTCATAGGCGCCAGGCTATAGGGCGTGGAGCAAGAATGGGCTTAGCCACACTGAGCGGCACTGAAGAAAACTCTGAAGTCACTAAGGGAAGAGACAGGGCAACTGGGGCACTGATTTCTCTGGCCACTCAATGTCCAGCCCTTTAAAGAGCAATGCACTCCTATCCCAAGTAGCTGCCAGTAAAGAACTTTGAGAGCTGACTTTGCTGACACTGTACTTTCTCACAATCTATGTTAAGTGGTGTTGCTATACTGCAGATGGGTTATAGGAGGTTAAGTGAATTGGCCCAGGGACAAGTTACCACAGGTGACAAACTGTGGCTTCCCCAAGGACTGCTTCACCCCTGCCCTGGGGGCGGACATCAGCACAGCAGCCCGGGAAGCAGAAAGCAGGAGATGAAGACTGGCAGCCGCTGATGTGGAGAAGTCAGTATCAAGCAGGCATCTCAGCTAACCTTTTTTTTTTTTTTTACAGTGCGCATCTTACAGTGTCCAGGTGAGAACACAACATGGATGGGGTTACTTAACATCTGTCAGGACCCTATAAAATGCCTCCTCAGGTGCATCTGTCCTCATGTGAGAGAGAGGCACAGCAATTCCCATAGCCATCTACAGCACTGCTCCTTGACCCTCAGACATTCTAACAAATGATTAAAATCAAGAGCAACCCAACCTAACAAACCCAGCCCACAGCCCTTCTCGAAACTTCCCAAAGGAACACCGAAACTCGCTCCACCCATTATGCCTCCAGGCCCACGGGCAGGACAAAAATTCAGGAAGAACATTCAATGCCCAGACAAGTAAGTGTGTTGTTTTGTTTTTCCAAGCAGCAAGGGCTGAGGTTTAAATAAACAAGCCCTCACACCTACAGATGAGGAAGGGCAGGAAGCAGCCGCTGGTGCATGAACGGGAACGCAGGACCCTTGGGGGCTAGACAGGAACAAACTGTGCCCCTGGAGAGCCCATTGCCTTTAGTTGCTCAATGAGTGCTGTGCCACAGGGCTGTTGGACAGCTTTTTGCAAGCAGTAAAGCCTCACTGATGACTTACCTTGAGAAAGCACATAAAGAGAAGCATTGGTGGACTCCATTTCCGTGGTATCAGGCATGGGTGTCGCTCCATTACACCCTGGTGCAAGCCGGATTTCTTGCCCTGTGAAGACTGCATAAAGCAGGGTGGTAGAGCCAGTTTCAAACAAATTAAACACTGCTTAGTCACATTAAGTTTTCTTTCCTGTTTTCTGCTTCTTTGATTATGATAGTTCCTATACAGGAGCAATCATTATTTGTCAAATCCTTCACAAAGCCTTTTAAAAGGATGATCTTCAATAACAGATCATGACTCACCCTTCTTATTTCCCCCAAACTACATTAAGGTCAAGTTGCAGCACTACTGATTTCCAAGTGCTCATTATCTGTCTTGTCTCCAAGGGTAGGCTATTAAAGGTACTGAGGATGAAAATCGTTCCTAACTAATTAGCTCACTCTAGAGCTAGCTGCCAATTTTTGGAACACATGAAAGCTCTCTCAGAGAGCCAGTTACCAAACTGTCACTCCAGTCCGTGTTAAAAAAACATTATCAATTTTTTCTGGCCGCCCACAAACCAAATAATTTATCTGCCAAGTGTCTTGAGATGTACATGCAGTTTGAGATGGTAGAACAAATATCCTACGAACATTCTCATAGCATTTACCGTTAGGAAAATGGGATATGGAGTGCAAGGGGGCTCGGGGGAGGGTTGGAGGTATGTGCATTATAGCATTTGCTCCACAATCAGACACAAAAGACCCAAGCCTGCATAAATGGTGACTAAATTACACTCAATTCTATGCCAATCTCTGCCTATAACCTAGGCCTAAATAATCGCAATAAATTAAAACAATCCATTCCCATTATGATAAATACAACTCCAAATATAATTACAGGTCATAGTGTCTGGGCTGAGGATGGTGGGCAAAGCAAAATATAGGAGTTGTCAAGATCAAACTCTAGTCAATGGAGATGTTAATTTGATGTCAATTCAAATTCCAACTTTGTCATTTACTATTTGATTGTGGAAAAATTACTAAAACTATACAATCTTAATTCTCTCTCCTTTGCAAAATGGAAATGCCACCACCCATATCATGGGGTTATTCTGGGAAATTGAGACTGTGTTCAGTGAGCTTGGTGTATGGCACATAATGCTCAGTAAACAGAAGCCATTCTAACTACTACTTCACTATCCCAGGGGCAGGTCATTATTTGTTCAGAAATTAACTGCTGATGCCTCAAAAGGACCTTAGTGGATCAACCCGATCAGATTCCTGACCATAGAGAACGCAAGAGCCTTGGCCTGTCACAGTGACTGACCACTCTCACAGTTTAAAATTAGTGTCTGGCCAACAGCGAGGCACAAAAACCGGACTACAACCTTCTCCCACACAGCCTGCTGCACGAAAGCAACTCGATCAGGTTCTCCTGGTTGGCTTCCCTTTCCCACCAAGCCGTCAGCTTGCAGAATAGAAAACACGCCAGCAAAATGGGAGTGTGCTTTCCACGCCCCAAGTTAGGCTGCACTGATTTATTTTATCCAGTAGAGTTTTTCTCCATGGATGATCCATTTCTTCCATCTACTTGCCCCTCCTGATACATAAAAGCCTCAGAGGTCTCCTGTTGAGACACAGGAGACAAAACACAGCAGGAGGTGGAAAAGGAGGAAGCGATGAAAATCAAAGGTGAACTAGAGATGACGCAGTAATTGTGCACGATAGACAAAAACCTAGAAAATGAGGACATGGCAAAGAACGAGACGCTGTGTGGAAATCCACAGAGACCCTTTCTTGGTAGAAACTAGCTTTCCCCTGATAGGTAGCCAGTAAGTCCAATTACAATGAGAAGTTACTGTGAGATCACTGATAACCTTTCCATTAAGGGAGCCAACCTGACAAAATTCCGCTCGCCCATTACATAGCCCAAGGGTCTCTATATTACACCCTAAGTGAGGAAGTTTCCAGAGGAAGTTCTCTGCCCGAGCACTGGAATGTGCCCCATTCCTGAGGAGCACTACTCGTGTGCTCACATACCGCTGGCTCTGGGGTAGGACCTGCAAAGTTGCTAATAACACTGCTGTAACAGCCACAACAGCAAGGCCTGTAATAATAGCAGCCACCCACTTCCTGAGAGCTTATTTTTTATGTACCCTGTTTAGATCTCACTTCAAGCCTGTAAGAGGTTATTACTGCTGCATTTTAAGAGGTGAAGGACATGAGGCCCAGTGAGGTTACCGATCTTACCCAACGCCAAATGTACCAGGGCCGGGATTCTAATATCCATATTCCAATGGCTGTGCTACTTTGATACTCGAAAACTAACTCCAAAGCGCTGCTTGAGAGAACATACTTGCCATCTGCTTTTCCTGGGTTTTTATGCTGTTTCATTGTGTAGTCTCCTTAGGCATATATTTTAAAACATTCATTTGGTTCCTTTAACATGGCTTAGTGTTGGTTTTGGGTTCCTAATTGTTGAAGCTGAGCGATGATAGGTATATGGGGGTCTGTTACATAATTCTACTTTTGTATCTTTTTGGTTATCTATAATAAAAAGTTTGGAGCTTTTTTTTATTTTTCAAGTTGGCTCTTTGGAAAGTTGGGTGATGTGAGTCAGCACTAATTGCTGAAGGGAGAGTTCAACTCTCTGCAGATGTCACCAGGCTGCAGTGTCCCCGGCTGCCTGCTGTTTGTAAGAGGCTCCAGCACTGACCCTCGTCAGACAGTGTTTGTGCAGCCTTATCGCACAATAGCAGGGGTGTCGGTCATTTTCACAAGGTTAGAACAGGCTGTTCAGAGCACCTGGGGTACAAAGAAAGAATTTTTCCCAGCCTCCACCCATCCGTAAAGCATGTCTTCCCGGGTGTGGCAGATTTCACCAGAGACGGCTGGGAGAGGCTGGCCCTCCTGAGCCCTCCGTGCCTCCTCACCTCGGGACGGCTGTAACCGTGAAGGTTTTAGATAGACCTGGTTGGACAGGACCATTTCTCCAAACTTTAAAAAAAAACAAAAACCCAGAACACACAGGCAAATAGTTCTAGTTTTGTAACCTCTTTTCTTTATCAATGACATCCATTATTTCATGTCCTCTAAATTGTTTTCTACTTTTACCCACTTAGGCATCCCTCCCTGGCTGAAAAGGGGAAACATGGGGCCATGGAAAAAGTGGGTGAGCAGGTCACACTAACCCTGCCTGCTTTTACCTGTCACTCCCCTAAGACCAACAGCCCCTCCTCTTCCTGAAGGAGGGACTGTACTGTGGGGTGCGGAGCTGACCGGGCTCCCCAGAAAGGGTCAGGACCTTTTGGCTCCAGCCTCAGGAGGGGAAGGTACCCTCTCACATAGTTAAGGTTTCCTTCCCTCGTGTGGAAAGACGGGCCTGCTCTAGAGTTGGGTCTGGGTCCTTTGGCAGCTCAAGTCTGGTCCCAGCACCCTGAAGGTAAAGAGCATGGTAGTGTCACCCAGCACAAATGGATAAAGAAGGGGGGACAAACAGAGCACCTCAGACAGAGAGCAAAAAATAAAATAGACAACCCCAAGTGAGTGTGGGATAAAGGAGATAGGTCAGAGGAAACAATGGAGGTACGGAAAATTTCCTAGGAAAGTTTGCACACACACTCTACTCTGTTCACCTCTATTCCACTAAAACCATGATAAACTGAGTGGTAAACGGCGGGCTTTATAGGGAAACAAGCACTACACATGGTCTATTTGTTTTTTAGTGCCAAGATAATTCTCCTTAAATAAAACCAATTTGCTTATCTATCATCCCATGAGTTTGTGGCACCATTTTTATAGGCTTAAAACAGAGGATGTCCAAATTTTAAAATGGAGTAAAGAAAATGAAAAAAGAAAAACCCACAGACTGGGGAGCAAGGTATACAAGTGAGTGCCAAGACCATGTGTGTGCCATGGTACTTTCAACCCCATACACACAGACAAACAACTTTGGACCCAGAGTGAACCCAGTAGGTAAACACATAGCAGTGAAAGAAGGTACCGTACTTGGTCAGCTGAAAGCAGGCTTCTAAGGAGTCCAATTGGCCAGATAACCACACCCCAAAGGTATGAGCCAGTGCAAGGCATTTCTGGGGTCTGTCCTGTGTGGGAGAAGGATGAGTGAGTGCAAGGGCCACAGGCAGTTTACTCAAAACTGACCAGAGGTTCAGATATTTCATGATGGAACTTCACCATCACAGCCCGTGGCTGTCCACTACCATCTGAGCATACATGGTGACAATTTAAAAAAGCTGTATGGCTGATGTCCAGGGTGACTTTATTTCATGGGGAGAAAACAAAAACCAACAACATGATTTCCCTAGACACCACACAGTGACTAGTACTTCTCATTTTTCATTTATCACATTATACCAAAAAAAAAAAAAAATCAACAGAAACACACCAAAACATACTCCTACACCCCTTAAATTAGCAAATTTAAAATTAAGACAGAAGCAATGTTTTGTTATACTATGATTCAAATTCTATTTACAAATTAAATTGCACTTATAAAGATAGCAACATGTCTAACATGGTTGTAGGTTGCTTTGCTTTATTATGGTTTTTAGATATCAATATGAAACTCATAAAGCTTTCTCCAATAAAAATCATACTTTCTTTTGCAGAACATAATTTATTTACCCACTGAATTTCTGAGCCAGTTTTTTCTTTTTGTGCTTTTCTGCTCTATTTTGTTTTACAAATGGCGCATACCTTCCAAGCAGGTATAATCAGACACTGCATTCATTCTAGAGACTCATTCAATGAAAAGGTAAAGTATAAGAAATGAAATATTAGCTGTCTAATCCTTTGGTTCTCCTTTTAAAAGAAAATCCACCAATACCATTTACAAATCGGTGCTGACTCTTCTTTTTTGGTTAAAAACAAATCCACCAGGTGGATGGCTGATTAAAATCCAACACTGCTTTAAACGTACCACATTCCTAGTCTCATCTCACTGCTCAAGGATGCTGTCATGTAGAACTGATTTGATGTGACACAGGATACAGTAAGGCACGGTGGATGGTACAAATAAAAACAAATACTTTAGGACTGTTTCTTTTTTCTGCACAAATACTAAAATATGTACCGTTTTCAAGATAAAATAACAGAAAAGAAACACATTTTTGTTATGAAATACCTATACAAAATTTTTAAATTTACACCATCTGAGCTGCCAAAAAGGTTTAAAAAAGTATCAATTATTCCCCATACATAAAACTATCTCTCATCAGTAGGTCCAAGAGAACTTGGATTCAAAATGTCCCAGCACTTGAGAGGGAGGAGGCTAAAAATTCCCCTTCCTGCTCCCCCTCACCCAACATAAGACAAAAACGAAGGTCAGATGTTTACAGTAGTGTATTCTACTTATTACAAACAGCTGAAATTCAGAAAAAACAAAAAAAATCACGCCAGGATTCCACTGGTGCAACGACTGGTTGATGGATTCGAGTAAGGCACTTCCTTGGGGGGAGCAGCACCCCAACACGTGGCTGGGGGCGAGAATGCACAGGGTCTGGTGAAGACAGAGGACTGCGTGAGGCTCCTCACAAGGAGATGGGAACGTCTCAACAGCAGGGGAAGACATGGGAGGTAAAGCTTGGTGGTGAAATCCTACACAGAAGTGGTCACTCGGTCAATGGCATGATTGACCTCGTTTTTATTTGAATCCAGTCCTTTAGCAGCATTCAGGTCATTCCGTAAGTTCTCCACTGTCTTTTTCATATTCTTTAACTCCCCGGGGTGTGGAGTGGCTCGTCTCAGAAGTGTTCTCTAAAAACAAATGGTGGCATGAGTGTTGGTTTCGTTCCATACTCCTTCAAACATGCAGCTTCAAGGCGGCAGCATTCCAATATGTATCGTACCGTCTCAGAAATTATGGGTTAGTGGGTGGGAAAGCTTCCTGGGAAGCTCTGTGCATTTATCAATTGCTTAGTAGCAGTTAATGAAAGAGGGAAGTGTTGCAAATAACTTATCTATCTAGTCAAGAAAGAAGGACTACTTTCAGAATAGAAGAGTACTTTTAAAAATGTAAGATTAACGTAAGATAAAAATAAACTTTCATGAACAGTAAGAAAAATATAAAAGATTCATAAGATATAATTGTGGGGTGTGGAGGAAGAGAAAGATAAAGGGGTAAAAAATTCTAAATTAAAATCCCCAAAATGTTCTATTACCCAATGTGTTCTGGCTTCCTTCAACCCTCAAGGCATGGGAGTCAAGCAAAAGGGTAGCAGGGAGAAGGACCTCTTTCTTATTTTGTTGCTGTGTGTGTGATTTACGTGACCTCCTGAAGAGAGTTCACATTCCTCTAATGAAGGCTGCAGTACTGGAGATGAAGTAATAGGGTGAGGGCAATTTTTACAAAATTATATTATTTAACATGTTACATGCTCTTTAACTCATAAAATAGCATTTATATCTTTTAAACAGCCTGTCCGGCAGCTTTCAGGGGAGCTGAAGCACGTTGACCCGATTGCGCAAGGGCATCAGGAAGGCAGAGGAGTAGCTGGTGAAACAGTTGCACGCTCAGCAGTCAGGGGCTAAGCGCTGAGGAGTCACTGCTGTTGAAGTTCCCGGGTCATCCCCAATTCCTACTTTGCACTCTACTATTTGTAAGCGGGTAAAATTCTGTTTGGTGACAGCTGAAATAACAAAGACCACAGGCAATAATTTAAAAACCACCCTTTGTTTTGGGGGTGGCCAGTACTCTCTCTAAGCTCTGCTAATGAAGATCTCAGTTAGTGCGAGGAGTTTAAGAAGCCAATGTCAACTTGCAGGGAGATTTCAGGAGTCGTCACTCACTCCTAGAGCTGCTGGATGGTGGAGAGACAGTGCACATGAAAGCAAGGCTGAGTGGTACTTCCCAATCTATTCCTGATTTCTGAGTGGACACTCGTGAAATAATCCAAGCAGACCACAGCACTCTGCATGAAGATGCAGTCAGTGGTTACATGAAGGAGAGAGGGAGGCCCAGTACAGCCCGGCCAGCTAAGCCACGTCACTCAGTGTGCATGGAGTCAATGTGGCATAGCTGTTAGTGGTGGTGGAGGGCAGGGAGAGATTTAATTCACTGGGAGCAGCAAAAAAGAAAAAATTCTCAATCAATTTGAAGACAGCAATCAGGGTGGGAGGGGAAACTATCACAAATAAAGAAAAAGCACCACAAATTATTTCAACAAAAAAAAAAAAATGAAAGTTTCATTTGCCTTATATACACTTGGCAAACCAATACCTAGAAGCACCTAGTCTTGTCCTCTAAAAAAAAATTCTTAACCGCTGAAGACCAAACAGAAAATAGACAGTTTGAAAATTAAAGAATTCCTTATTAGGGGACACTCTCAATCTTAGAAGGCTTTTGAGCTCTGCGGAGGCCAAGAATCTCCATTTCCATACCGTTTCATTGTCTTCCTCATCTTTTTCATCTTCCAAAAATCGGATCGCGCTGACTCTGTTGACTGCACGCTCATTCCAGGCCTCATCAGAGACGCCATTCACCAAGCTCTCCAGCGCGCCACACCGAGGCAGGCTCTCTGTCACGGCAAAGAACATATCAGCAGGGAACTCGGCTGCACGTGAGGGGCAACTGCTGCACAATGATTTTAAAAATTAAAAAACGGAAAGAAAAAGGCCTGGGGTTGCGCTTTCTTTTCAGTGATGCCCAATTCTACTTGAGATCATATAAAATATCTGATAAATTGGTATGTTTGACATATCATTACAGAATGCCGTAATAATTTATGGAGTCCTCTTTCGCAATTCTTTTTCTGTATGCTAACTTTAAAAACTTTCTCATGACAGTGAAGTGGCTGCACATGTTGGACGCTTGTACTTTCCTTACTGTTTTAGCACATTTTTCTCTTGGGGGGCCCTAAAAGCTCATGTAACAGGCTAGAATTGGCACCCTTCCCTTTGGGAGACCGCCATTCTCTCAGGGCAATATAATCCTCTTATATCAAAACCAGCTCACAGCAAAGGATTTTTAACAGCATTCTGATGTTAGTGTGAATATTTTTTAAAATCATGCAATTTACAAAGCAAAGGTACAATGATTCAAAACAACTCAACTGGCCCAAAAATTGTTTTCCAGTGATGTTCAATACAATCTTCTAAACCATCAGTTGGGATTTTAACTGACTCTTACCTTTTCTAGGAGTATTTGTATTTTCAGCCTTAGCTCTAATTCAAAACCAAAAGGCTGTTTAAGGAATTTCAGATGTGATAAACAGGTGGGAGAAGCACTTTTTCTGCAAAGATGGAGGGGAACCTTCCCAGAAGAGACCCACAGTGACCTCATCTGGGCTGGTTCTAGAGGCAGATGAGACAAAATACAGTCACAAGTGGGAGTGAGAGGTCTTATGGATAGATAGTACCTCCTACGAATTCTTGTGGCCATGCAAATATTGTCCTTGTATTCACCTTGGCAATCAGGTTCAGAAGGCAGCTGAGGAAGTAGGACACAGGTTAAAATCTTCTCTCCTGTGGCATGGTCTGTGTCTGTTTGGAACGTGAGGAGAGGCTGGGACTGGTTGTCAGATAACCACAAAGCCTTCAACTTCAAGGCCGTCAGGGATAAAGGCAAATGCAGCAACCTAGTTTAAAGCAAGAGGAGATAACAGGATCTCAAATTTTGAAATTAAATCAACTCCTATCAATGAAAACAGGAAAAAAAAAAAGATTAAAAGCAACTTCCTGGGACTGGGTTCAGTGTGTAAAAAGACATCATGTTCATAGTGATACTTGATTTACTCTTTGAAAGGGGGTCCCTTCAGTAGGTTACTGTACCTCCCCTTTCTGTGTTACCACCATTCTCATTAGCCCTTGAGGGCATAGGGCAAAAAAATCAGGAAATTACAGGACACACTTTTCAGTCTTATATTAAGAGGCTTCAATTTAAAGGGGGGAAAAAAAGCCAGCATAAATGTGGAAGGACCCAGAAGCCCACATTCTTACTGAAATCAATAGCAACAGCCTCAGCAGCAGGGCCGGGAGGACGCTGTGGGATGAGCTGCTTCCAGCAGCTCCTGGTAAACCAGGGCAAAGGGAAGGAGATGCCCAGGGTGGTGAAGGGTTTAAGTTGCAGTTAAAGATTTAAAAACTTGTTTTCATAGACTCCACTTGTTTTCTCTAGGGAGTTTATTTTAGGTATTCCATTTTAAACTTTTATCTTTCAGGTTCTAGAAGCTCCCACTTCTCTAACTGCTAGGTGATAATTAATATACACATCAGATATTTCAGTTTCAAATATAAAAGCACTTCAAAATTATAATATGACACCTACAGATTAGTTTTACATTTATGTTTGCACAAATATTTGACAGATTGGCTGCAACCAGTTCAATCTATTTAGTGAAGCCCACAACCAAAATCACATGCACCGGTCTTGCCGAAGATTACTTCAGGGCAGTGGCCCTCAACCCAGGGGACATCAGGCACTGTCCGCAGACATTTTTGGGTTGCTACTGGCAGTTCGTGGGTAGAGGCCAGGTATGTTGCTAAAAGTACTCCACAAAGCACAGGATGGCCTCCCCAATGATGGATTACCTGGCCCCAAACACTAACAGTGTTGAGGTGAAAACACCGCTTTAGGAAAAGTCAGTGCTTTGAACAAGTCTACTAACTCACTTTGAAAACAACCAGACCTATGCAGATATCAGGAATTTAAGGTTTAAAGAATTTAAAGTTATATTTGATTAAGTATTTTCACTCTAAGGATAGCTCCATGTATTGAATTATGGATCAATCTCAGAAGTGATTTCATATGCTAGATGATGATAAGCTACTCACATTCTGTTAACTACAGTACAGAAAATGAGGCACATTTTCTTAAAAGAAATCTCTGACCCACTAATTCTATAGGAAATGCTATGACAGCATCTATTCCTGGGCTGCTTCTTTTGATGAAATTGTGCACCTACCTCCAGTTAACACGTGGGGGACCTACCTGTGCATCTTACCAATAGGTTACTATAGCATCAGACATTTATACCATTTTATGGGTAATACACTAGAACTCCAGGTGGAGATATGAAGAGAACTTGTAGAGATATGAAGAGTACTGTAACACTAATCTAAGTAAAATCTAAGCAGACTGGTTAAGTTACTTCAACAAATGAAGTAAAAAATTATCAAAGAGTACATTTAAAGTATTAACAACAAATACATTTTTAACAAATTTTTCCTGAGAACAACTGATGTGTTCTGCAAAAGATGTCCTATGTTACTAGATATGGAGGTGAGAAAATAATTTATTTTCCTAACAATTAGCCCAGTGAAGGCTGCGCCATCCCACACACATATATTGGGTGGGTATTGAGGAAGTACCGTGGAACTGTATCTTATACATGGGAGTGACGCTCTAAAGTCAGTACACCCATGAGACCTGCATAGTTGAAGTACCCCTGAGAAAACTCTGTGTAGAGCCAAATTGGGTGAGGAATGTGTTTTTAAATCCCCAAACCCACCCAGTGCAGTGATAATGCTCAAACCATGCAAAGGAGGCCCAAGGGGATCTGAGGGGACAGCAGATTCATGACTCCACTGCTCCTTATTCTGAAGTAGTGGATCTTGAAGTAGGATAGAAAGTGTAATCTCTTATGCTTATACCATGAATTACTTTTGCCTTTTCCCAGAGGCTGTCACCCATATACACAAATGCAAGAAAGTTAAAGACCTGAGACATGTATTTGCCAGGCACTGTGACAGGGATTGTTTTAAAAGAATATCCTTACACACTGTGAAAGCCTAAAGTACATCAAACTCTTTCTCACTTTACTGACAAATTGATAACTTCTTTTGAAAGCTTGTTCCTATTTCTTTTTAAAAAGGAGTTAAACTAATACCTTCGAGGTCTCAGGCAAGAAATCTATAGTCAGCATCTCTACCCTTCTTAATCATGAGGGTATAAAGAAAAAAGAAATCAGATCTGAAAATTGGCACAAAACACTGAGACTCAAACATGGTCATTGTACCTTCTCAGGCTAATAACTGGCTTCCTAGCTAAATGCTAAAGCAAAGTTATAAAGAAAAGGCTCAACAGAGCATCAATAATAAATAACAGTTTGTAAGGATGACAAATCAGCTGGTAAAAGCTAAAATAAATTACTAGACTCTCCAACATCTTATAATCACATTTAACCAAGCCATGAGAGATTAGTGAGTTGGCTCAAATACCAGTTTATCCACACAGAATACAAGTGCCAGTTTGAAGATGGCTGCCGCTGACCAAGGGCACGCCACATGTGAGCTTGTTCACAGCTGTCTCAGGGACAGAGGTGCTCCCAGTGGTGCCAGAGAGGAAAAGGCCCTATTCCCTGCCCAGTCCACACACAGGGATTCTACAGGCTGGGCAACCCTCTCACTGATTCACTGCTGCCTCGGGGGAAAAAAGGCACACAGACTCCTGTTTTTCTTGGGTGAACCATCCCAGAGACAAGTCAGAAAACAGATCTAAAAAAAATATATTCCTGCTTTCCAGAGGAGTTAATAATACATTTTTTGGTTTATTCTGGTGCCTTCTGTACACCACAGAATCAACAGAAGAAACCACAGCCTCATTTGTATACATCTCTGAGTTCTATTTAGGACCACAACCCTCAGAAATAAAAAGCCTGCAGTTACTCTTTACATCAGTGGTACAAGAACTAAAGCAAGTGAATAACCGAAATGTGAGCCTCTCATTTCCAGTTACATCCATGAGCAACACAACCTGAGGTGACCTTCCACACCTCTAAACTACTATAGCAATTGCATCGTCAAATTTAACAACCAAACATGGCCTACTAATTAATGTAATACTAACTTCTGTGGTTGAATACTTCTTACAATTGAATATTTCATTCTGTCTGCTACCTCCTACTAGAATTTTTAGTTTTAAGCAAAGTTTTAAAAAATTGTTTAAAGATATATATGAACAGAGAGCATAATTAGTGAAAAAAGTTTAAATACCAAAATATCTAAAGCAAAAGCCCCCTGTAACCTCATGTCTCCATCCACCTCTAAAAGAACTATTAATATTTAGGTGTACTGCATGGATAAGTTATTTTAAAAACAAATATGAGAGTACTATGAACTGTTCAACACTTGCTCTTTTTACTCGGTATCATGGACCTCCTTCTGTGTCACTACAGAGAGAAATAGCTCATTCTCTAACTGCTAAGTATTCCACAGGATGGCCAGAGTATTGCGTTGTGTTTTGTCTTAACATTTTTCCCCCCAGCTTTGTTGCAATATAAGTGAGATATAACATTGTGTAAGTTTAAGGTGGACAATGTGATGATTGGATACTTATATATTGCTAAGTGATCACCACAGCGGGGTCAGTGAACACTCCATCACCCCTCACATAATCACCATTGTGCGTGTGCATCTGTGTGTGTGGTATGCAGACATTTAACATCTTACTACCTCAGCAACTTTCAAGGATATAGTATTGTTAAGTACAGTTACCATGCTGTACACTATTTGATCCCTAGAACTTATTCATCTTATAAGTGGAAATTTGTACCCTTTGACCAGCATCTTTCATGCCCCCCAGCTTCTAGTCTCTGGCAACCACCATTCCATTTTCTGATTCTATGAGTTCCACTTTTTTAGAATCCATGTGTAAGTGAAATCACACAGTATTTGTCTTTCTCTTATTTCACTTAACAAAATGACCTGAAGGTCCATCCATGTTGTTGTAAGTAGCAGAATTTCCTTCTTTCTCATGGCTCAGTAATACTCCATTGCATCTATGCCACATCTTCCCTATCCATTCATCTGTTGACGAGGCTTAGGTTGTTTCTAAATTATGGCTACTGTGAATAATGCTGCAGTGAACATGAAGTGCAAATACATCTTCAATATCCTGTTTTCATTTCTTTTCAATATATACCCAAAAGTGGGATTGCTAGATCACAGGGTAGTTCTATTTTTAATTTATTGAAGAACTTCCATACTATTTTCCATAGTGGCCGCACCAGTTTACATTCCCACAAGCAATGCACAATGGTTTCCTTTTCTCCTATATCCTTACCAACACCTGTTATCTCGCCTTCTTGATAATAGCCATTCTAACGTGTATTAGGGGGTATCTCTTAATATTTTTTAATGTTTTTGGATTATGAAACTAAAAGATATATTTGAATTTCAGTGGTATATTTCCCCTTTGTGAACCACTGTCTCCAGTATTTGGTATTATTAATCCTCCAAGATCCTCAAACACCCAATTGTGTGTACTTGGTGGATGTTCCTATGGGAGAGGGTCTTAGAATTAAAGAAATGTACATTCTGTGCCCGTAGGGAACTGATGAGAAAGACAGCTCCTCCACTACTGTACCAGAAGGTTTGATACTTAGTTTCCAAATGGCATTTTACAGTTATTCTTGCTATAATTTATCCTATCAAACTTGTCAAAGAAAGTTTTTGAAAACTAGCATGTAGTCTCCCTGTGCCATTTGCTATTTTTATATTCCCGAGAGAAGAGGCAGAAACTTGTGCAATATTTGGTATGATTTCTCATGGTCTAACATTTCTGCAAGCTATAAAGCTGACAAGGTAACCTTTCTTTTATAAGTTTCTGTACTAATACTTTAAATAAGTAGTAGTTAAGTATTTTAATAGGCTTACCATTTGGTTATGAATCTATATGTACATGGACTGAATGACACACGTAACTGACTCAGATGGCAGCCAGGCAACTCGACTTAATTGGGTTTTCTCCACCCCAACCCAAGCATAATAAAAATTTAACTTTCCCTTCTTCTGAGAACTGGAGAACAGGGCCTTCACTGGTGTGAACCATAGTTTTTAGACCTCAAAGCTGTCTTTCTGCTCAAGAGTCACTGATGCAAATTCATGCTCACCAGTGTGGCAAGAGCCAGGGAAGGTTTGGAGTCACCAAGTTTCTACTACTGGAGATGAGAGGCCAGGGAAGAACTGCCTTTTTCAAGCTGTTAAGTCTCACGTTAGGCTTAGTCCAGCAGAAATTCAACATTCAACTCAAACGAATCCTAAGTTTCCAGTAACCGGTTAGCAGTTTTAAGAATTTGTCAAGACATCCTATAAGCATTCACTTTAAAAAGGTGAGTGTCCCCTGAGGCCACAACCCATCGCCAGAGTTCAGCCGAGCACTGCTGTTTACCTGCACTACTATCAATAATCCATTAGCAAGAATGAAAAATAGTGGCTTATGCCTGACCTGTCAGTGACCAGCTAATCAGCTAATCCCCCAAACTCTTTGGATTGCTGGTATTTATCATTGAAAATTATTGATCACCTTCCACTCGATTGAGTACTTTTTCTCCTAGCTAGCTATATAACACTTAAAAGCATTTTTCAAATTCCTTTGGCAATGAAGACTGAGATATAAAGCACTTCGCAGTGGTCCACTATGTATTCTACAAAACTAACATTTTTAACATTTTCATTCGGTTGACAGATATGGACCAGACAGCTACTATGTTCCTGGCACTGGGGAAGGGCACATGATACAATGACACATAAGCCATAATATCTAACTTTAGGCAACTTAGGTTTAGGAGGGTTACATACATTTAACAGGCAATTATCATATGGTGCTATGAGTTCTACGTTAGGGGTAATACAGAAGAAATTCAGACTCAGAGAGAAGAAGGCTTCCTGGAGAAAATAAAAGCATGAATCATGAAGAATAAAAATAGGGAGATGGAAAAGAGAGTCTCAGATAGAAAGAATAGTTTGTGTAGCCTTAAGGGGAAGAAAGTACGGATGACATTGCAGGTGATGAAATTAGTTCAGAATGGCTGGAACAAATCTATATGCTACAAAGGCGAAAAGAAGACATATTCCAGAAACTGGTGAGCAGCCCAATATGACCTTTCACCCCAAAACTTGAGAGGTAGTGCGTTGTAACCCTGGGGATGCCAATCTGGTGGCTATTCACATTTTTTTGGATTATGAATCACTTGGTGAGTCTGATATTAGCTGTGGATCCTTCTCGCCAGAAAAGTATCCCTGAATACAATTATGTTAACAATTTCAGGGGGCTGAGTCACCAGCAGAGCACATCAAGACCCCCAGTTGAAATCTAGTTCAAACTCACTCAGGCCCATTCTTCAGGTGAGGCCCACAATCACTTCCAAACACTAGTTCAAAAGCTATAGCAAAGCCTAAGAGCCCCGGTTCTCGGGCCAGGCTCCTGCCCTTGCGTGTCTGTACCGCCATCCTGGGAGGCACGGCTACAGAAGCGTTTAAAGTGCCCCACATACAGGCTGCCTCTCATCTTCTCTACTCCATCGAGATCAACCACTCTAGATCCCAGACTAAGAACTTCCTGGGGGTTGGGTGTTCAACTAATTGGTATATGTTCTATAAGGCGGAGCAAAGGCGAGGTGGCAAAGACCCACGGCAAAGGTCAGAATGGGTGAGCACTTGTGTCTTTCTCTCAAGCAAAGCAAACCATAGCATGCTTACCTGTTCCCTGCCACATCCAGGACATGGAGCTCTGTCGCCTGTGATATCTCTGCAGGTATCCGAGTCAGTCTATTGTCACGCACACAGAACACAGTGAGGCTGCAGCACCCGCCGATCTACAGTGGGAAAGACAATACATCTTTTTTCCAGGATTTTTGGGAGATGGAGGTGGGACTAGAGTATCTTGTATGTCAAGTGGCATGAAAAGGATGTATAAAATTATACCACAGGATTGTAAGTCTCACTGGTGAACAACTATGATTAACTTATAACAAAACAGAGTAGCCCAGTAAGTTCATACAAATCGCCGCAAAATATTGAACACATGTGTTCTAAATTAAATCAAGAAAATAAACAGCTCAAAATTTCATTCTGAAAAGGAAGTCTTTTTCCACTGCTATCTAACACAACTGCATCTTTTAAATATGTTAACCAAACTACATAATCCAAGACACATAAAATTCAGTAATATGGGAGTTTTAAGAATTCTAGGCTCCAAATGTTGGGCCAAAGGTGATGCACACACATACACACAATTCTGAAGTCCTGCCAGTTATATAACTTCAGCATTCTACTTTATCTAATAGAAAAAAGGGGACACCTGATAGATGATATAGTACCCTAATTTCTACTGTACATCCTTTAATAGCTTTTGGCCATTCACAACTTAATTTGGTAAATTCATTTTCCTTTGACAAATGCAAAATCAACAATATTTTAACAAAGAGTGAATTTGATAAATGCATATAATATTAATCTCAGCTATGAACTACCAGTAAAAAGCATATATGAATATCTGCACCTGCACCAAATGTGATTACCATTTTTTCCCCCTTTTAAAGAAGCAGTTCAAAGGTAACTGAGCTCTGTGCAGGTCTTGTCTTCAAAAAAGAACATAACACAAAAGAATTCACGATTCTCTTGAAGAAACTGGCTATGGTTTCTACGGACAGGGAAGCTCCACCAAGGGGTTAGAAAAATAAATCCAGACACAACATTTTGCAGGACACCATACAGCAGCACATTCTTCTTGTACTTGCGATCCTGGCTGAGAGCAATAGCCAGGAAAGGCTCATGAAGGAACCGATTGATGTCCCTCTGACACATGGAAAACTACTCCACAGCCTCCCACTTTAGGGAGGGCAAGAGACTTGAATCTTCAATGACATCTGAATATATCTTCTACCATTTTCTATTTATATATGTGTTTAATATATGTATGTATCTTAAAAAGCAGAACACATCTTTATGGAATTTCTACATAACTACCTTCATCACAATCTTCCTATGTCTCCCTTAAGAGTTAATATAAAGATTTTGAAGTAATATATTTAACCACAGTATCTAAACATAACAGATACACAAGAAAAATAAACATATAAGAAAACAGGGAGTAACATTCATCTCTGGTCACCTGTACAACAGCCAAATATGTAGAAGAGTTTCTAGCTTGTACCTTTTATTTTCCAATATTCACACTTTGCATCCCAGCAAAACTGGTTTATTCACTGTCCTCTAAAATACATCTCATATATTTGGTCCCACTGTTCCTTATAGAAATGCCCTTCTTCCTCCTTTCTAAATCTTACCAATCCATCCAAAAATTAGCTAAACTTTCTCTACTCCATAAAGTCTTCCTAGAAAACCCTGGTTCATATTAATACATTGCCCTCTGCACTTCTTTCACAATCATGGTCTATACAAACCCTCAGATCTTTTGACTGATCCGCTGCATCTATATATAATATTGTTGTTGCATCTACATGTATTTTGCATCATATATAATCAGGTGCACGGCGAGCATGGTACCCATCCTATCTATACCCACATGTGAGACCTATCTACCTACCAACGTTTCTCATTTAGGTATGTTAATACATTAAATTTATTTATTACTAGCAAAAGGCTGACACTTAAGGTTATTATCTGCTTCTATGTGTAGCCAATGGAAAGCACAATCTCTTCTTTTTTCTAGTAAGAATCACCACAGCGGCCTCTCTTAGGTTTTATATATATAGGACCCCAGTATCGTGTCCTAAAAGAGATTTGAAACACGATAATTTGTGGTCCTTGGCAGTCTACCCTCCCTTGAGGAAGAGAATCATCAGTTTTACTCAGGTGGCCAGGAATATCCTGGAAAGAAAGTAATCAAAACCCTGACTTTTTGAGGATCGACATGAGGAATCTGATAAATTAAGACTATCCCAACAAAGATCCTCATGGAGGGGACCCCCACCCCCACCCACCACTGACCCCATTCCATGTGGAAGGATCTGGGTTCCATGTCAGCACACGGCTGGGACTGGACACTCCTCAGCCCTGCTGTCCTGGCCTGGCTTTGAAGAGACAGCATTTATCTGTACTCTAGGGAGTCAAAACAGGCAATATCAGCTATTCATATACATGACCCTCACGATGGGACAGGAAGCTCCTAAAGGGTATATAAAGCTGAGACTGCATCCTGATTTGGGGCAATCTGTCAGGATACTGTCCACTGCCAGCCACCTATAGGATACCTGTTTGGGGACACTAAATCTATATACCATGTGAACATTTTCAATTTGCATATTGTACATATATTGTACTAACCTAAAGTGGTTAGTTAGTTAACTAACTAAAGTGGTTAATCAGAGAAGGCTCATAAAAGTTGTTGGAGCAATAAAAGTTCTGGACAAGTTAACAGCCCTAAAGTATTTGGGGGGAAATAATGTGAACTCCCAAAGGAGCACATGAGCTGTTTACTGTGTTCATAGTTTCATTTATTTACTTTTCGTCTTTTTCCTTTCCCACTCCAATTTCACACCCATCGGAGACCCCCAAGGGCTGGAAAGTGATTGTAATGGAGAGCCTCCTAGGCCCTCTGGGCTGTCAGAGTGGGCAGAGCGGCCTCCTGATCTGCACGGTGCCCAGTACTGGGTAAACACGGCGAAGAAGCGCGAGCACTGCTGCAGGGTCACTGAGGGCGCCTGCATCACCGCCAGGGGCACGCACTGTCCTAGGCAAGCAGTCACACACGGCCCTCTTTCCAAATCAGCCAGGAAGGGATGGCGTGAGCCTCTGGCTTCTCCAAGAGATTACTAAGCAGACAAAACCAAAAGTCAAAAGGTAGAGTTCTCTGGAGACGTCAGAGGGGTGTGGGGTGCAACGAAGGGATGGATGCTTTGAGATCACACAGACCTGGGTTAGAATTTAGGCTCGGTTCTGTGCTTTGTGGGTTTGAATATGTTACTCTAACAAAAAGTAACAATAGGGATTAAATTAAATGAAACCACAAATATAACTTCAGCACCTATCACAGAACCTGGCCCATTGCTGCTGCCAAGTAAATGTGGTGACTATTTTTTTTTTCTAGGAAGTTAAAATCCCAGATTCAATTGACGAGTGCAGTCAACACTCGAGTGTCTGCTGTGCCGCTGGAACTGGGGTGATGCTGGCGAGCTCAGCACACCTGAACTTCTTAAAAAACAGTCTGCCTGACAATGGGACATTTTGTCACCGTGACAAATACACTATAATCTTAGTACTGGTGAAGAGTTGACATGAATGCAGTATTTATTATACTATCATTCATATGTATTTTTGCTTTCTACTTTGGGTCCAGGCAGAGTTTACAGGCTCCTCAGTGGTCACCAGCATAACATGAGTATACCACTTAGAAATTCTGAGAAGCAGGGTCACTGTACCAGTTATGTAGGAAGCTGGTATTTTTAAACTCCCTTAAACCACATAATAGCACCTTCCCAGAATACAAGGGGTTGGACTTGGATTCTCTGAGAATTACAGAATATAGCTGAGAATCCTTATTTAGCTGTTCTGTGTCTCTTAATTCAAAATGAATCTGTCCTTAACTGTTTGGCATTGATCTAATTAATACATCTCAAGGAGATGGGGCCTGCAGGTCACTGAGCAAACCTTTAGTAAGATCACATTTCACTAAGAATTAATTGACTGTAGGTAACAAAACTGTCATCAGATTCAATAACACACAGAGAAAGCCTGTTTTAGTTACCTTTGACTGCCTATATTCTACTCTTGTGAATGCCTGCCCTCAGTGTTAAACGAACTTGCTTTTTACTTCAATATCTTCCTTTCAATATAATCTGTAACAGAATTGAACCCATATTTCACTGGCAAAAAGGAAAATGTGAAATAAGCAAAACCTGGTCAAAATACAATTTGAACAGAAATAATATGATGCATAATCTTAGAAACCAAACACTTATTTTTGCTTTTCCCATCATCATCTGTGGCATATTATTCCAAAGTTCCCTATTTCATAAATATTTGGAAATCATGAGGCTTTGGGACTCCCTGAATTGTTGGGCCACTCACATCAAAGTACCACTAACTGCTATGGCATTCTTCTTTTCTTATTACAAAAAAGTACCTTAACATTGACAGGAAGATATAAACCACATATCCCCACACACAAAGGCACAAAAGAAAAATACGCAAACCAAAACCTGCCACAAAGAGATAATCAATATTAATACAACCTTTCATTATTGTTGCCATGCATTTGTGATTATATACATACACATTTTTTAAAAATTAGGACCAACACTATGACCTTTAATACCTTTGTTTACATATGATACCAATAATGTTTTCCCATGTTATTATGTTTCTAAAAAGATTTTTACTGACCCCATAATTATTTCATTCTAGAGATGATCCACAGGTCACTCAACAAATCACCCATACTAGACACTGCTAGTTAGTTCTGCTATTTCTTTGCTGTGTGATCTTGGGCAAGTTACTTAATATCTCTGAGTCTTGGTTTCACAATCTGTTGGATGTTGATAATGATTTACCGACACCTCACAGAACTATTGTGAAAATTAGACAGGCAGCAGCAGGAAAGCACTTGGCACAGTGCCTGGTAAAGGTGAGCTGCCCCTGTACCTGCTTGGCATGGTATATGGAGCCTGCTGGCTACCCCTATATATACTATGAGAAACATTCTTGTGCATCATTTTTAATGGATACCTATGGTTGTTTTCATAGGATAAAGTTCTAATAGTCGAATTGCAGAATCAAATGGTATGTACATTTTTAAAGTTTTTTATGATATTACCATATTTTCCCTTCCAGAGAAGCCATAATAATTTGTAAT